TTTACTGATTCTCCACCTTCACGTTGTGTAAGAAGCTTTCCTCCCCTCTAATATTGATACTTCTCTTTGCACCTTTAGCTACTATTACTCAGTTATTTTAAGGTCTCACATATTTGTTAGTTGTTATTCTCTTAATATGGAAGTATAAAAAACATGCAAGAAACCAGACGTTTGCCAACACAGGTTCAATTGCCGAGGGCAATGAGTGTATAACAAAATGCTAGTGAGCACAGGGGTTAAGGCCATGTGCCCGTGCACATGTGACACTTTATAGACCAAGCTTGGTTCTTCTTCAGTGTCTTCTCTTGGAGATGTACCTAATCTTAATACCGGTTTTTATTGGAATCCACTGGAGAATGAGGTAATTCTGCTTTTGTTTCTGGGCCTTTTGTCTCTTCATCCTGAAAGCCTTATAAGAAGACATTTTGAAGACGGAAGGCAACTGCACTCACAGGATGGGGGAGGAATGGAAAGTACTAGCACTGGTTTTGCCAAATATAGGGGCCATGATGTACAATACGAGGGGTACCCTTCCAAAACTCCCTGCAATTGAGCTGGGTGGAGCAGAGCTTTCAAAGTACGCATTTTCCCTGCTAACTGAGCATTGAGCAACTCTCTCTGAGTTGGTGCACCCAGGCGTCGTCACCTGGCAAGGTTCTCTCTGGTCACAGTGAATTTTTTTGTAAAAGAAGTATCATTTGAACCTTGTTTATTGTGATGGTCCGATTTAAGAGAACAGCGTGCAGCTGTGAAATTTTGTTTTCTGCTCAGGAAATATGCTGCAGAAACGGTTGTGATGTTGAACATAGCTTACAAGGACAGTGCTATGGGGGAAAAGTCAAGTGTATGAGTGGTTTTCTTGTTTCATAAAAGGTGAAATGTTGACTGATGACAAATCTCATTCTGGATGTTCGTCAACTGCCTGAAAGAATGAAAATGTTGACTCGTAGTGCATTTGGAGTTTGTTTGTTCCACCATGTCAGACTGTTAATCAAACTTTCTATTTAGAAGTTCTGAAAAGATTGCAGAACAGTGTGCAATAAAAAAGGACTGATTTGTGGTAGACGGGGGACTGGCTTGGCCACCATGACAATGCACCTGTTCACGTAGCCATCTCAGTGCCAGTGCACCAGTTTTTGGCAAAAAAAATCCCAGGATGCCTCTCTTGCCCCTAGCACCTGACCTCTCTCAGTGTGACCTCTTTTTGTTTCCACAAATGAAGAAGGATTTGAAAGGACAGCACAGAAGGGGTGAAGAAAAAACAAAAAAACAAGGAAAGTACTTGTCAGCCATCCAAACAGATAAGTTTGAAAATGTTTCCAAGAATGCAATCGCAGACGTAGTAAGTGTAACAGAGAGTACTTTGAAGGTGATAGGTTGTTTTGTTAAAAAAAAAAAACATAGCTTTGCAAAAAAATGCCCTTTTTTGGCGGGGTACCCCTTTGTCTAATGGATTGGATGCTGCTGCCTACAGTGAGAACATACACTATTATATGATATATACAGTACATGCATAAGCCAGTAATGTAAACATTATGACTATCAAGACATATGCAGATAAGTTAAAAAGTATTGCTACTAGGGTTCCAGTTCATATAAGTACGGGTTTATTCCAAACAACACGTGTTTAAACAAGCTAGCTCAGTAAAACACTTGTCTTAGTCTTGTTAAGGTGTTTTCAAAAAAAGGTCTGATCAAAACAGTAGCTTCTGAAGGGATCTGCTGGGCCAGTTAAATTCAAGGGAGGGCAGCCAGCTCGGAAGGTTACAGTGACTGCTTTTGGATTCCAAAAGGAAAATCTCGATAAATTTCCTCAAAAGACACACTATGGTCACAGGGGCGTATTAGGAAGAAGTTTTAAGTTTTAACATTGTCTAGGTGAGATAAAGGCCCAGAGAGTTGCAGTGAGTCTGGATTCTGGGTGCCAGCTCTACAGGAAGGCACCTTGTCTCCTCTGAGCTTCTTCTCCTAGGCAGTTTCTTGTTGGTTTGCCTTTTGCTCTCTCCCTCCATCTCTGTTCTGCTAGCTTGTTTCATCTCTTTTTATCTCTCTAAAGAGATTGGCTCAGTACACCCTATACATATCCAGCCTCATTAACACAACCACCATAGGCACAGAAGTTAGGATTTACCACACATTTTTCAGGGGCAGGTGAGAGGGCTTCAAGAAGTTGGGCAAAAATTCAATGATATTTTTTCAAATCATTTTATTGGGAGCTTTTACAGATATAATAACATTCCATAGTTCAATCATATCAAGCAGTAGTCAATTATCTTTTAATTCCACTTTTCCATGAATTTTTGAAGCCCCCTCATAATTCAAGTCCTAACAAACTCCACCTTATTCTAACATTCTACCACTGAAATTTTTATAAAGGTCACATTAGTTATGTAACAGAATCAACTCAATGGCAGCTCCCCCCCCCTCCCAGCCCCCTCTATTCCATTCAGTGTTCCCAGCAAATTACATACCTTTGCATGGTAATTTCCTAACAAAGGAACCCTGGTAGGTTCAATGTTGGGCTGTTAATCAAAAAGCCCTCTGTTCAAACCCACCAGCCTCTCCTGGAGAGAAAGACGAAGCCATCAGCTTCCACAAAGATGGAAAATTTGTGTTCAAAAAGCCTTGGAAGCCCTATGAGGCAGTTCTACTCTGTCCTACTTGGTCACTTTGAGTTGGGAATTGATTAGATGTCAGTGAATATTTCTGAATACACACGCACCTCTCACTAGAGTTTTCCTCTACCTATGCAAATCTTTCTTAATTTTCAAAGCTCAGTACTAGCTCTATCTACCGATTCCCTGAAAGTTTTCTGTTATCTAGGGAATAATGTCCTCATGCTTACTCTACCTCCCCCTCCTCCTTCTAAACTCCTTGGAATTACTTAATGTCTGTTCTGTTCTGCGGACCTCCTTTTGTATACCTGTCGCTTCTGGGAGACCATAAAAATTAAACAACAACAAAGACTACATAAGACTCCTTTCTGAATTGCCTAAGACATCGATAAATATACTGTTACATATTGGATGTACTTGGTATTTTGAATATATCCATACCATAGAATATTACTCAGTATAATAGCAATGTATGATCGATACACCCAACAATTTGGATGGGAGTCAAGAGAATTATGCTGAATGAAAAAGGCAGTCTTAAAAGGTTATATATATATAAATATATATAATTCCATTTAAATAATATGCTCAATATGAAAAAAATTATAGAGATGGAAATCAGATTAGTGGTTTCCTGAGGTTAGGGGTGATATGGGAGAGGTGGTGGGTGTGACTATAAAGGGATATCCATGTGGGAAATCCTAGTGGTGTTGGTTACATAAATATATACATTTGATAAAATGACATTGAACTATATACTTCCATTGTTTCAATGTCAAAATGATATAGCAGCCATTGAAGACACTGGATGAAGGATACACAGAGAATCTCTGTACTCTCATTACAGTTTCCTATGAACTACAAGCCCAAACCAAACGCACTGCTATCAAGTTGATTCCAACTCACAGTAACCTTACCTAGGGTGTCCAAGGCTAAATCTGTACAGGAGCAGTCAGCTCATCTTTCCCCCACAGAGCAGTTAGTGTGTTTGAACTACTGACCTTGTGGTTAGCAGCCCTATACCTTACTCACAAGCACTACTAGGGATCCTTTCTGTGAATTTATACTTATTTAAAAATATACAACAAAAAAAATAATCACATCTAGCTTCCTATTTATTTCTTAAATTAACACACTGGTAGCCAATGTTATTCAAGTTATCTGTAATAACCGAGTTAATGAAAAAAACACTAAACATTTATAAAGAGGATAGAGACATGTAAAACTTGTGGACATAAAGTTTGGAAAGTGGAGGATCAGGGATGGGAGGGAAGCTAAATTTTGACCAAGTGCATTTTTGCACCGAGTGAAGTTTAACCATGTGTGTGAATTAATTTTAGAAATTAGTTTTAGCAAATATTAAGTAAAAAATCAGTTTTATGAAATATTACAAAGAATTAGGATATGATTTTTCTTACTCAGTTTAAGAAAAATGAAATACATTATTATTAGCTTTCAGGTCTCATGTGTATCTTTTTCTCTCTAGCAAATTCTTTCCTCTTTAGCAGTAACATACTAAATTTTGTGCTTCTCATTTTGCCTTAGTTTTACCATGCTTATATACCTAACCCATATATCCTTAATTTTGAATTATTTTGAACTAAACACAAGTAGAATCTACTTGCATGTATTTTTCTGTGAATTGCCTTTCCCCCCTACTTAATACTTTTACTGTGTATAAATTTTTCATTCATTCCCACTGCTATATGAAATGCCACATGGATACACTACAGTTTATTCAAAAGACTAGTATTCACTGTGCTTAAGTACACTGGAACTGGGAAACAAAAAAGAGCATGTTTGAGGTTATGCATACATACATGCAGACACATACAGTGTGTACTCTATTTGATATAAATAGTTCTGTTTAGTGATATTCCTGTATTTAAAAATGGCTCTTAGTGGCATAATGTATCAGTGCCTAGTTCCTCTGCTTGGATATAAGGCTGGGATTGATTTTTTTGTTTGTTTTTCTTTTTTTGTTGTTTTGGATTGATTTTTAAACATAGTGATTTTACCAATACATGCTCACATGCAGTATATAAAAGTTTTGATTACTGCACATTTTAGCCATGCAAGTATTTTTAAATCAAAACACATACACGCAACCCAGAAAAGTCATAGAATTTATAGCGTTCTTCTGTTTTAAAAATCATAAGTCAAATCAAAGTTAGTAGAAACCTGAAACATTTGTATTGTCCCTTTCTTACAGTGCAATATTTAGATATTTCTAGAGTACCTAATTATAACTAGAAGGATTGAATAACAGTATTCAGGAAGCAAAAAGGCTATAGCAAGGAAGTGAAAAATTACATATAAAGCTCAAATGAAAAATGTATAAGATTTACAGACACACATTTAAAACTTCCAAGAAGCACAAGTTACCTTCAATGTTGAAAGCCCAACCTTCTCTGGAGACCTGTTGAGAAATAAAAGTAAGGAGCTATTGAGTAGTGGAGATGAGAAGGGACTACTTCTATAAACTTATTGAAGACAAGCCCAGTTTGAAAGACATGTATAAGGGGGCTTTAAAAATTCACAGAGAACAAACGAAGCATGCAATTTTCCCAGGAATCTTTTGAATCTTCTTTGTATAATATCTTGTGATTGAAAAGGACTGGATGTATATAGCAAATGTGGAAAACAAGAAAGCAGTGAGGAAAGTTAAAGCGATAACACAATTTTTTACCACCTAGAGATTTTTGGGGGGCCCTGAGTGGTACAAATGGATAACACATTTAGCTGCTAATTGAAAGGTTTGAGGTTTGAGTTTACTCAGAGCACCTTAGAAGAAAGGCCATATAATCTACTTCTGAAAAATCAGATACTGAAAACCCTACAAATTTCGACTCTGACACACGGGGTTGCCATAGGCAGAATCCAATTGATGACAATTGAAACACATAAAAAAGAGGGCATATGCACACGTTTGCAAACGTGTGCATAAGCAAAGGTGGTGAAGAAAGCTGATGGTACCAGGCTATCAAAAGATATAGCGTCTGGGGTCTTAAAGGCTTGAAGATAAACAAGCGGCCAACTAGCTCAGAAGCAACAAAGCCCATATGGAAGAAGCACAACAGCATGTGTGACCACAAGCTGTCGAAGGGATCAGGTATCAAACATCAAAGAACAAAAAATATCATTGTAAAGGTGGGTGAGTGCAGAGTGGAGACTCAAAGCCCATCGGTAGGCAACTGGACACCCCCTCGCTGAAGGGTTGAGGGGAGGAGATGAGCCAATCAGGGTGCATAGTAGCAACGATGAAACATATAACTTTCCTCTAGTTCTTAGATGCTTCCCACTCCCACCCCACCCCCACTATCATGATCCCAATTCTACCTTACAAATCTGGCTAGACCAGAGGATGTACATTGGTACAGATAGCAACTGGAAACAGGGAATCC